GTGGGCTGGGGTAGGAGAGGGGCAAGGATGTGGGGTTGGGGTCAGCACTGACTTCCTATTCTCCCTTTTCTACCAAGTTATGGTGTAGAACTAGAAGGAATACAACATTCTGAATTTTAAGATGGTCTGTCAAGTCTGATTGACAGTCATAATGTGTTTTGTGTCAGAGTTGGTTGGCAATGTGGATCTCTGTTGACCTCTTCCCTCAGGCCCCGCAAATGGTAAGGGTAGGTCTTTGGAGTGAACAATATGGTTGAGACTATGTCAGGCCAAGGCAGTCAGCGTGGCAAATGCTATAATTGTTGGAAGTAATGGATACACGTGGTGGGGTGGGATGGGGGCAATGCTAGCACGCGGGTTAGGGAAGTCTTCCTGGAACCACTGGCACTGAACCTAGACTTGCCAAGAGTAGAATCTTACTAGAGGACACCGGCCAGATGGCATGAAATGCACAGAGCAGTGGGTAGAGGAGGGAAGGAGGGACAGAAGGAAGGATGAAAGGATACAGAGAGATAGAGCTGCTGACTACTGGGGGACCTGGAGTTTATTCAGTATCACTGGAGTATGGGGGAGGGTCTTGAGTTGAAGGATAGATGGTCAGAAACAAAGTCTGTTACAGATACAGTCTTACTCCATTTTCTCAATTTCTCTTGACTTGTGTCATTCACTTCTTTGCAGTCCTGATGTCCCAGGCTTTTGAAAGTCCCCTTTATCTTACCCTCAGTCTACCTTTCAAACTTTACCCATGAATTTACTGCTGAAAACTTATTTGTATGTGAAACCATTCAATAATTACCTGTCATTGAAAGTGCAAGATTATTTTAATGAGTGACACAAAAATAAGAATAGATAAATTAAAAAGTGGCATCTGATTTTCCCACATTCAGATCCCCCTAAAGGCTGTATTCTTAAAGAAATAAGCATATCTCTAATTTTCCTGCCTTATACAGTATAGGGTTGATTTTCTGTCTTTCATTCACTGGAATTCTGCTAAAACTGATACTAATACTTTCTATCCTGATTAATCATGATGACAGCCAGGGTTTTAGTCTCATCTTCTATGCTCCAAAGACATTATTTTATTTAATCATCACAGTAAACCATGAGGCACATGGTGTTATAACCATTTACAGATGAGGAAATTGAGACCCAGGGAAGTTATGTAACTTGCCCAGTGCACATGCACATGAGCATTAGTGGTAGAACTGAGGTATGAACACATATTTGCTTCATTCCAAAGCCTGCACTCTTGCCTTTCTAGGACATCGACACCTTTTGCCACCTTCTGACAGTACACAGAACCCAGGCCAAGTCTTAGTGCTGTGCCCAGCCCATGTTAAGCAGAAGAAATACTGTACATAAACACAGGTGGTGAGTTTGGACTCAATAGTGGAAAATGCCTTTTGGAATTATCCTAGAAACGGGGAAAAGTTCAGAGTTAGTAATTGTGATACTTTTAGTAAGTTAAAGACCCCCTTGTCTTCCCCTCTAAGTTACCTCACTTACTTATTTGGAAGTCACCTTTTTTTCTTGGAAAATTGATTATATTTCTACACATTTCCCCCACACAAGTCACAACTCTACTAGTGACACTGTTTACGGCATCAGCTGCCAAGTTTGTGACAGGCTAGATCATTTTAATTTATGCATTTTGTTTATTTGGTTTGAACCATTTAAGGAATCAATTAAAAAATTAAAAATTAGCCCCTTCAAATAAATGTGTTAAAGATTAAAAATATACCTTTGAACCGAAATGTGCTTCTGCATTATACTGCCTACATTTATTTACATTTACAAGTCAGTGAAAAACAATTTTTCGTACAAAGTTTAAATTATTCTATAGCTCATCATTGTGTATTAAATAATGCAAAGGCGTCTCACATGTGAAACTGGCCTTTTTTGTTGTTGAATTAAAAACTCAGAGACATATGTTAACAGAAACAAACAAAAAATCATTTGTGTCCATGCATCTATTAGAGAAATGTTTCCCTCAGTGTAGAGAAATGTCTAGTACTATTACTTATCTAAAGAATCAATCATTTTTTCAAATTAAGGAAGCATGGGCTGTGAACAGGAGAGACATAAAAGCCTTGGTATTTCATGAGCATGGGGCATATCAGTTTCCTGCACGCTCCCATCTGAGTCAAGTTCAGGAAGCTGGTCACCTTAGCCATTCAGCCATTTTGCAAAGACACAGGTTAATTTAATTTTAAAAGAATACATTGTATGTTTGGTTTAAATTATAAGGCTGACATTCATATTTCACTGACCTTGGAGAATTTATGCAGGTACTTTACAAATTCCAAAGTGACATCTATTGATTTTTTTAAAAGCTTAATGGAAGAGAATTTAAAGGCTTAATTATTTCTAATGGTAAAAATAAAAATCTTCAACTGATTTTTATGAGGTCATTGTTATAATTAGGTTAGCTTAAGATTCAATCAGAATGATAAGAGTGTCCTTTAACTACTTTTCTAGAGGTATAACTAGTCATTACCTCTTTACATAGACCAAAAGATTTGGATCAGTGATGGATTAGAAATGTGACCATGGAGATGTAGCCAACAATAGACAGAGCGTTATAAAATTTCACTCTAATTTTTCAAGAGTTTCATTTGGACCTTACATGTATGCCTGTAACAATATAGTTAACATTAGAAATGGTTATCAGTTTACTTTTAAATATATTTTTTTACAAATAAAACACAAATATAGAAAAATCCCCCAAGTCAAATATTTGGCTTAATCACATATTATGATGAGAGCACTACGTAGGTCAAGAAGTAGACCTTGGCTGACCATTGAGAAGTGTCTTCTGTATGCTGTGTCCCAATCACAACCTCTGCCTCTTCCCACAAATAACTAGTCTGACTTTTATAATAATGAACACCTTGCATTTTAAAAGTAGCATTGTCACCCATATATGCATCCCTTGACACTATTGTTAACATCGCCAACTTTTGAAGGTTAGATATGTCCTTAAGTCTCTTTTAATCTATAGATTCCTCTTCTATTTCTTGCATTTTCTTACAATTTATCTGTTAAAGAACCCTGCCCCTTGACCTGTAGAGTTTTCCACAGCCTAAATTATGCTAATTTCATATTCTTGGTGCAATTCAACATGTTCTTCAGTTCTTAATATTTTCCTGAAAATTTTCTGGAAACTGGATAAAGCCACAATAAAAGGAGACACATAATATCTCGTTTCTCATTTTATCATCTTAGCAGTCATTGATGCTTAATGCTAATAACTGTTTATTCACTGGTAGTTGCCAAGTGGTGATATTTGAATTCTATGATTTATTTTGTATTTGTTTGTTGGAATATTTGTGTTAAGAAACCCTTCATTTACTATTTGCTTAGCCAAGAATTCAGTTCTCATAAGAAAGGCAGGATAAATACCAGGACTTGAGAAGCAAAAACTAATAACAATTTTTGCCCTCCAATATCTTTAGAGTTAATGGGGAAAAGAGCAAGTAAGCAGTGATTACAATAGAGCGTGATACGTATTTTGAGAAAGGTGTGTGCAGTGTCAAAGGAAAACACGGCCGAGTGGCACACAGAGGAGGCAGGGAACCAGTAGGTGGGTGGGGCAGTAGAGACACCCACATTTATTTACAAAACAATAATACTGCGCTTTACAGTGTCTAACTCTTTGAAGTTTTTGGCACTCTTTTACATTCCCAGTCTCAGAGGAACCACACTCTGTGGTTCTGCTTTCTATACTTTCTGTATGAGGGAACTCAGCTCCAGAAGAAAGTTGTGACTCTTCAAGGCCTTATGGCTGATAATGTGTTGTGGGGCCACATCAACCCATTTTAGAAAGAATGAATACTACATTTTTTACATAATAATAGTGAAATGGTATTATTAATTGACATGATAAGTTAATCAACACATTTCAGAGAAGACACACATAACTAATACAATGAATTTTTCAAGGCCAAATGGATTTTTCTATAGTCAATTGACCAATGATATATACCTTAATCTAATTTTTAAGTCAATGCAATTCAAATTTTTATTTCCAGAAGGTAAAGAGGGTTAGAGTGGAATCCAGTCCAGAAATACCCTGCTTAGCTCCTTTACTTTAAACCCTTAATTCAGCACGTCTCAGCATTTTTCAACTCATGTATTAAATCGAGGATGGCTTACCTCAAGTCATAGTGAGAAGCCAATCAAATGAAATAATATATGTGAAAGTTCTTGAAAAACTAAAAAGGACAACCCTCGAAGAGTTAGAAACAAATGTAAGCTTATTCACACTTATTTAGTTATCTTTTAAACACATATGGTGTCCTAGAATTTATCATTTCAGTGTATCTCAGAATTTATTTCCAAATGTCTCTGGCATGTAGGATAAAAATTGATCCAAACTAACAAGTTGTTTGACAGTTTTGATCACCAATGTTTGGATGAGTTTGTGATATATGTTTAATTTGTTTTAAATGTCAGTGATTTGAACTTCAGTGGTTACTATCGTTCAATGAAGTGCTAGTGCAAGGCAAAAATCATGGAGAATTAACTAATAACATATAAAGTGAGAAAGGCTTTATATAAACATTTGGGAAAAGGCAGGTTAATGACCTGTACTCTTTCCTAAAAATATTCTTAAGTCCATATATTAGATCCTCAAACACATTTATAGAATACAGAATCAGTGACTTTTTTCTTAATCTTATTGCAAGAGGACATTTACAAAATTAATAACAAAGCTTTATACTACTCATTTAGCATCCCATCCCAAGATTTAGTTAGCTACTCTAGGTGGTTATATGTTTATGTGACCTAAAATTACTTAAACATATACTGTTGCCTTGGGGAAAAAAATCTCCTTCGTAGCAAGAAGGTGCCCACCTGATGATCCCACAAGCATCAGCTGAGATGCTGGGGAATAGTAAGGCTTTGGTGTTCTCCCAGCTTTCTCTCTTCTCCATGACTCTCTTCTTTCACCCTTTCTCCTCCTGACTTTGTCAACCTCTCTTCCTCTTTGCCTCTAGGGAGAAGCCCCCAGTGGAGGACAGTCACTGAAAAACTACATGGAAGAAGTGAGTTTTAAGGTGGTCTTCTAACATAGTCTGAAAGCAGTTTATCATCCATCATATAGGGTGAAACCCTCACGTGGACTTTCTCCATCTGCCTGAAGGGTTTCCTGTCTATGCCCACTCACTGGTCATGCCCACAAAAACAAGATAACAAATCATGTTATCAAAACGTTGTGTATTGGTAGGGAGATACTGTGTATCAGTTCATCCTGAAAATGAAGGTAAAACTGCATAAGCCCAGTGCTATCATGTATTTTCACTCATAAACATTTGCCGATATCCTAGTAAATAAGAAACACATTTTATATTGGCTATGTCCAAAAAAAGACATGATCATTGATCTTATGATAAGAGCAGTCTATACCAACTGTCTTAATTTAAATGTATGGTAGATTTTTGTTGCGAAACCATTTAGACTTCTTGATTTGTTTTGGAGATATCCAAGGGTGCTCTGTGTCACATGATGTGTCTTTGTGCTGCCTGCAAATGGTATTTGGGAACTTTCAGGTAAACCAGTGCATAGAATCCATAAAACCTGATTTGAAACCAATCCACAGTAGTCACCTATTTAGCCACCTGAACTTGTTGCAGATAAAGGGAACTGGAAGACAATTTGGTGATGATGTCATAGAAGTACCAAACATTTGGTTTGAATATTGCTTCTCAGCAAGCAAATCTGTTCCTCTAAATATTCTTGCATGCACAAATCCATTGAAAAGCCATTTTGATTGCCATACTAAATGTACTATGTGGTTGATTCATTTATTCAGAATATGGAACCAATACTTAAACTCACTTTTACTTCCAGATATCACTTGGAGAGAAAAACCAAAGTGCATAGCACCCCTTTAAGTCTCTAACATTTTATTTTATTCCATGCTTGTTTGGAGGTGGTTGGAGTTTTGTAAAAGGTACATGGAGAAGGGGTAACAAAGAAAAGAAAGGAAATAACCAGGCAGATGTTTTGAGTTCAGGTTAGAAAAATCAAAATACATGGGGCAAAAAATTAGAGGATTGGCGCACCAACTTTACATTTTAACATAATGACTTTGATACAGAAGTTGATTAGAATACATTCAACAATTAATGTTGCCAAGGAGAGGCAGACACTATTTTCAACATGTACACCAATAGAATCTTCTTTTAGGATTCTGTGGTTGCTCAAGCTCTTGGCTCAGCATTCCCCACTTTCTGGTAGGGTCTGGGGGGGGGCCACCTCCACAAGAAGGGTGCCTGATGCCCTTGTGTCCTGCGTGGGTCTAGCACTGTAGAGGAAGGGGAGCATTGAGGTGCCGATACAGGAAATGGGCTGCATACGGATGATAGAACTTAAAGTATCTTATTCTAATTTTGCAATTCTAATCCAAAAAACAAATCCTTCTTTTCCTCATGATTACGAATGTGCAATCTAAATATACATGGTGTGCGCACGACATGTAAATACTTAATGTGACAAAAAGACTGAGAGACTGTTCCTCCTCAGTGTGGTCCTCTGACTAACTAGCAGCATCGTCATCACCTGGGGGCTTGTAAAAATGCAAAATCTCAGGACTTACACCAGATCCAAAGAATCAAAATCTACATTCTAATAAGATCCTCATGTGATTCATAAACACCCTAAAGTTTGTGGACATAGCCCTAAAGTGTTCTTTCCAATGTTATTTCTAGACAGTAACTTCATACATCATGGAAAAAGATCAGTTTTATAGAATATAGGTAGAGGAAACTTTTATTAATAAATTTATGAGTTTTGTTTATTCATCTACTCTGAGGGACAATATTTTTGGTTGATTGGGGGTATAAAATCTCTGTAGCTTATGAGATTCATTACTGACCCACAGTTTGAATTTACAAGTATGTGCGAACTGCCCAAGGTAAGCCTTGCCTTTCTTAGGGGTTCAGTTTCACAGTGTTTTTATCTAATGTTGGTGGGTATTTAGCTTCTAGCTCTTTTTAAAATCAATAAATAGCCATCTTTTACAGTAAACTGTAAGTTTGATGTTAGTGAACTATTGACTCATTTAAAGTTTTTTTTGCAGACATTAATTCATTAGGTCTTTAAAAAATATACTCAAACTCTTCTTTATTGTGAACAAGTTAAAAATGTGAGGCAAAAATTGATAGTTTTTATTTTTTCTCACTTATGCTCTTATTTCACTTTTGCCTTCTTTCTTCATATTCCTAAAATCAGCAAACAATAAGGAACAGTATTTATATATGTTAGAAGCATTGAAGTTAAAACTGAGCTAGCAAACATTTGCTTTTATTTAGTATACACTAAAACTCAAATAAACCATAGTGTTTACATTTTTAATATATTTAACATTTCTTGCTAAAGTTTGAACAACTCTTTGCAGATCAAAGTCTGTTTTTTTTATTTATTTAGTCTTATAATTAGACAGAATCATAACCACATGAAGTTAGACAATTCTGTTTAGACCTAACTCAAAACTAAAGACACAATATGGTCTTCTCAAAAAAGTAAAGCTAAACTGGAATTTCTAGCCCATATTTTCTGTTGGTTAATGTGTAACTTTTCCAGAATAGAGTTTGTATTTTTGACCAAATAAAAAAACAAGATATTTTATAATAGTCTACTTTTTCTAATGTTCAAAATTGTTCTGACAATTTTAAAAATTACATATTCTTTACTTGTTTGGCACTTAGTAACTCAAGGGAGAAATAATAATTTCACATTGCAAAAATTTTAGTTTTTGGAATCATAACATCAACATTCATTAAAATATATATATAGATAATTTAAAAGAACTTATCAAAATCAAATACTTCCAAAAGTCGTTTGTAGAGAAGTCTATTTAAAATATCATATTTCCTAGATTAATAACTAGAAAGAAGCATAGTGTATTAGTTAAAAATTCCCTAATTATTAGAGAAATATGTTAATTTAAATATGTATAAATTGGATAAGTGTTATGAAATTAAGTGGTTTGGAAGCTGTGAAGAACTAAAGACTGAAGTTAATGATTTAAAAAAGTTTTTAAGGAACAACTTAGAGCAGTTCTTCACAGCTTCCCGAAGTTATTTGGTGAAGGCTGGAGGCAACATACACAGAGTGTGCACTAGCTCAGGGTGTCGGGGGCAGCTTCACAATCTCTAAGGGCGTCAGACGGGAAAGGGAGCCTTTAAGCAGCAGACCTTTCTCAAATCTGTTGAGGTTGGTTTTGCCAGCTGTACCATCTGAACTGGAAAGGGGATCGATTCTATGCAACAAAATATCTTACAGTCACTTTTCCTGCCAATTTTGTCTCTCTTTTCCCCCTGTGTTGTATTCTGTGATTGTTACTGCAGTGAAATTCCAACTATACTTCTGAAGGAGAGTGCATGACATTATCATAAATAAGAGACAATTGATTTTTTATCATGCGCAGGGATTTCCTTTTTAAAAATTGAAATAATTATTATTCAGTCTCCGTTTCATTGCACTTAGGAAACTAGGGAACAAGGATTTTTTTTTTTTTAAAGGAAACTTTAATTTGTCACTGATATTCACTGACAATTGATGCATGTTGTTAAAGGATAACGCTTTTGTAAAAAGTTATAATCTCAATCCATTGAGATTTTGCTTCCCAGCTCAAATGAAAGTCATCTAAATTCTTACAGGTTTGGATGCTTCTTATGTTGATATTATAAAGAATAACAATCATTATTAACCAGTTTGTCCTATTAAGAGTGTTGTTATCTTTATGAAATCACCAAGAAATTTTAAACTTTTCCAATGGAGTTATTCCTCTTCATTAATTGGATTATTGTTTTTTTAATGCTATTTCTTTTTTTAATATGTTTTTACTGATTTTTAGAGAGGAAGGGAGAGGGATAGAGAGAAACATTGATGAGAAACATCTGACTGCTTCCTGCACGCCCCCTACTGGGGATTGAACTGACAACCCAGGCATGTGCCCTGACCAGGAGTCGAACCAGTGACCTCTTGGTTCATGGGTCGATGCTCAACCACTGAGCCACACCGGCCGGGCCGTTAATTGGATTAGTAAACAATCCAAAAGCCTATTAGAATCTTCCTCTTCTTAATATAATATCTCTTTGGGAATAACCTGAGTTTTGTGTTACAATTCATTTCTTAAGGCCAGGATAATTTCTATCTAATAATTCCATATTAAAAAGTTATAATTATGGCTCTCATACAGATGTAAAGTGAACACTTGTCAAAGATTTATTCAATCAACTCATTAATTAATGAGTGAACCAGCAAGATGTTGCAACCAGTTCATAGGTGATTTTACACCCTCACATACATAGTTAAATAAGGAATGTTGAAATGAAGTTGTAAATAAGTGCAAAAACTAACAACTAATTGATACCCATATGATAATTAATTGCATTTAAATGGACACAATTTGCATTCGTATGGACAAGAATTATTTGTACTACTATAAATTTTTATAAATTACATAATCGTAAAATAGCTCAAAGTCAGTGAACTGACTCAAAACCTCCATCAAATCAGATAAATGGAAGGACATACTAGAAAAATTGTCACTGGTCCAAAGTCCATGTGCCTGTCACTCTGAAAGGCCAAAATTCAAAATATTAGAGTTTGGAGTGAGGAAAGATTTATTGATCCAAGAAGGTGCCAATGGAGAATATGGGGATGCTACCAGTTTCTCAAATTCATCTTTAGAAAGTACAGAGTTCAGGCTTCTTTTATGACAAGTGATGAGAAAATAGGAGGGGCTATTTCTGTAAAAAGTCAAACCCCAAGTAGAATTACTCTGATGATTAGTGTGTCTAAAGTAGGAGCTGTTAGCCTGAAGACCATTGAAACAATGAAGGCCTGAACAACATGGAGTGAGACACACCAAGCATTTCACTGTGTTACAAATAACTTAGTTTTCATTGACTACACCAATGTTTCATTCATTTCAAAGCCTTTTACAACTTTATCCTACAATTTATTTTGTAATATTTTTCACAATCTACCATATTTTTTCAAACTTTATTATTGATTCCTCTCTTTTCTTTTCCCA